CTTTTTGTTTGAAATAGCATAAGGGGCTTCCAAGGCTTGGCGATGTCTTTCAAGTTCTCGGGGACTACATCTTCGGCCGCGGCACGGGCAAGAACGTGGCTCTTGCGATGCACTTTCTCACAAGCAAGGGTCAAGGCTCTGGGAGGGCGCGGGGGCCCTAGAGGGTATCCATGCGGGGGGGAGATGGGGTCCGATGGCCCGCCGCAGGCGCCGATTTTCCCAGATTTTTCTTTTTTGCGCGATTTTTCACTTGTTTTCAGGGAATTCGGCCATGCTATCACGCCTTGCGACAGCCTGTCGGCGCTGCTGACCGTGCCATGCTGCTCAACTGACCGCCTGCATAGCTCGCGGCCTTAGTCTTCAGCATTCAGTGACGACCTGATCGTACGGCCAGTAGGAAGGTGTCCTTCCAGCGCGTGCACGCTTCTGACGCAATGCGCGTCACAAAATGCCTCGGATTGGCTGCTGGCACTCTCGAGGCTATGCCTACACAGCCTCGCGCGCATGGGCAGTCAAGAGGGACCACGCACCTTCTCAGGACAGCACCAGTGCCTCTCTCTTGGACCGGCAAACTTGGTGGTCTCGTGTCACCAATGTGGGACCACGGTGCGGCGCGGAGGGAGTGAGCGGTGCGCTCTGTGCAAAGTGTGGCGCGAGGGAGCGGCGCAGAGGGAGTGAGCGGTGCGCTACTGTGCAAAGTGTGGCGGCAGGGGAGTGTCAGGGCGCGCACATTTGACAAAGAGCGACTTTCCCGAAGCCAGGCTGGCGTCCCACGTGGAGGGCGTCAGCTCGGTGGTTGCCGAGGCGGCCGCGAGGCCGAGGAGGAGAGGGAGAGATCGTTTCGAAGCCGTGACGTGTACTGCGGAGAGTTTTTCTTTTTACTTTGCACTCCAAACCAATCAAAGAGAGAAAAGCAGCTTCGTCCCCATCCCCAAAAGAAGCAAAAAAGAAACAGGTGCTTCGCGTGCACTCGCTCGTTGACAGCCGCGGGCTGGGCGGCTCCGTGGGGCATGGCCTCTTCGATTCTCGGCCGCATCCTCGCCATCGTCCTAGCCGTCGCCGCCGCCGGCCGGCTCGGCCTCGGCGTGATCGCGTATCGCACCGCCAATGCCCTCGAGCGGCCGTCGTACTCCGTCGTTCGCCAGCTTGGCGGCGGGGTTGAGCTGCGGCGGTACTCTCCCTACCTGATCGCCGAGACGAGTGTCCGCGCCGACTCGATGCGCGAGGCGAGCGGCAAGGGCTTTCGGGAGGTTGCGGGCTATGTCTTTGGCAAGAACCGGCCCGCCACCAAGATGGCCATGACTGCGCCCGTGCGCATGTCCTCCGACCCTCGAGGCGGAGTGCCGTCCACCACTCGCGTCTCCTTTGTCCTGGAGAAGAGCTACTCACGGCGAACGGCGCCCGCGCCGCTCCGCGGGCAGGATGTTCGTGTGCGCAGCGTCGCGCCCCACCTTCTGGCCGCGCGCTCCTTTAGTGGGCCGCCGCCGTCAGAGAAGCGGGTGTCGAGCGAGCGGCAGCGGGTGCTCGACGCGCTGAGCGCCGCCGGCCTCAGGCCGGCCTCGGACGGGGAGACACTCCTCTACGGGTATCACGACCCCTTCATCACGCCCTCCTTCATGCGGAAGAACGAGGTTGCCGTCAGAGTGGAGGACTCGGCAGCAGAGGTGCGCGCCTCCTAAGGACGCGAGCTAGAAGCAACACATGCACATCCACACGGGCCGCGTAGGCTGGCTGAGACGTACTTGGTGCACGCACATTGGCTTTAGATATAAAGTCGGCGAAAGCCAAACTTAATAACGTGTGTGTTCAATGTTCAAAAAGAACGCCGCACCGCATGAGAGACAAATTGTAACGTTGACATGACTCATGAGACATGTGTGCGTGAGCCGTGACGTGTAAAGAGCACGGTGTGTACGAGATATCTCTCTCGATATGTGTGTGTAAGCATGGCCCCAGTCCGCGCAGAGTCTCGAGATAGTGTCCCCGTACTCGCAGCGCGAGGCAGACGCCGCCGGCGGCGAGGGCGGCCGCCCGCCCGAGGCCCGTGCGACGGCGCCGAGAGGCGATCCGCGACCACGCGACATCCCGGGCGGCCCGGCGCGCAAGCCCCACCCGCAAGTGGAGAGCCCCCCCCCGCGAGCCCGGCCGCGAGCCCCCGCAAGGGCTGCTGACCCGTGAGGCCGCGAAGCTCCCTCCACTGGGTACGGCACATCACGCCGCCGCGTCCTCGCCGGCCACGCACACCTCCCCCACCGGCGGCGGCAAGACGGCACACTCCACGGTGCTCGACGCGCCGCGGCCGGCCGTGGCGAGCGGGGAGAGCCTCAGATGGTGGCCCAGCTGCCCCACGAGCAAGACGGCGTGGAAGGCGAGGAGCGACCACCAGACCGACGCGACTCCGAGCCCGAGCCTGGCCGAGAGGGAGAGGCCCGCCACCATGACGCCGACGCCGGCCGCCGTCACCGCCGCGAGGGGCCCGAAGGCTCCGAGGCCCATCATGATGCCCTCGCCCGCAAAGATGGGCCCTGTCGGACAGGCAGGGAGTGGACCATAAACGCGCGCCGCTGCCGGCCCTTCCCTCGGCCCGGGAGCCGCCGCGCCGTTTGTTAGCGTCACGAGCGCAGCCACGCGCGCCGGCGCCGCCACCGCCTCGCGAACCGCCGGCAGCGGCGTGAAGAGGGGCGTGAGGTAGGGCATCGCCGCCGCCTGCGCCAGCCCGAGCCCGGCGGCGATCAGCGTGCTCCACCCAATCAGCCGGTCTGCGACGCGCCGCGCCGCGGCCGTCGCGCCGCCGTCGCCCCGCGCCCCTCCTCCCGCGGCGCCTCCCTCGCCGCCGCCGCCGCGGGCGAGGGCGGAGGGGACGAGGGTTGCACCGGCCGCTTGCATCGCGAGCATGACGACGACGCCGAGCGAGTAGACCTGATTCGTGATCGAGTACGCGGCGGCGGCGACGCCTAGGCAGTGTCGTGGGGCAGCGGATCAGGGGTCGGCGAGGTGGTATGGCCGCAGAGGCGGCGGCGGCGACGCCAGTCGGGTCCATCAGCTGCGTGCGTCGCGTGGCGGAGACGAAGGCGACGTTGAGCGCGACCTGTCGTAGCAGCATCGCCGCGCCCCCCCGCAGGAGCGGCAGCAAGTCGGACAGCCGCGGCGGCGTCAGCAGCGCGCCCAGCCGCAGCAGCCGCCGCCTCAGCAGCAGCGCGACGTAGAGGCCCCCCGCGAAGACCTCCGACGCCGCCGTCGCCACGGCGGCACCAGCGACGCCGAGGCGCGCCTAGGGTTGGGGTTGGGGTTGGGGTCAGGGTGGGGGTGGGGGTTGGGATCCGGGTAGGGACTTAGCGCGCCCCGAAGATGAGGACCGGGTCGAGGACGAGGTTGAGCGCCTGCGTCAATGAAGAAAGGCGCGAATGGGAATTCCGCCTTGCTCGGAGCATCGTCTGCATACGAGGGCTGCGAATACAGCTGAGTACGGCTCACTACGGTCGTCTCGAGCGCTAGTCGGAACACACGGTCCTTATTCGGCATCTGGGGATGCGAGCGTTGGAGGCTAGCGAGACACGCAGCGGCGTCACGTTGTCAAGGAGGCCGCGGAAGGCGGCGAAGCCGATCGAAGAGAGGAGGGCGGGGATGAGGGACAGGGAGCGCAGCCGCAGGTACCGCCTTGCGTACTCAAAGGCGGGCGCCGTCGGCGGCAGCACCACCGACAGCGGCGCGGCCGGGAACAGTACCAGCAAGGCGGTGCCGAGGGCGCCGAGAACGTTAGCGAGGAAGAGGGCCTCGCAGACGCGCCGCGCCGCGCCA